TGAAAAGCGGAAAAATGAAAAATTGTATAAAAAATAAAATCAAATATTGAAAAATTAAAAGTTGATAAATTGAAAAATTAAAAATCGGGTAGGTATTAGAGAAATCTAAAAATTTAAACATCTGCAACAGTGAAAAACTGAAACTTGAAAAATTGAAAATTGAAAAAAATAATTAGACAATGGTCAAATTGAAAAATTGAAAATTGAAAAAATTAGACAATAGTTAAATTGAAAAATTGTAAAATTGTACAGTTTAAAAGTTGAAAAATCCAAAAAATTAAAAACCGGATAATTGTAAAATCAAAAAATTGCAAAATAGTAGGTAAACTTGAAGATTTGTATAATCGAAAAATAGATACATTTTGAAACTGAAAAATTGTATACCCAATTGAAAAATCCAAAAAATGCAAAATTATAAAATAGTACAATTGAAAAATCCAAAAATTGTAAAATCGAAAAATTGGACAACGGCATATTGAAAAACGAAAAATTGAAAAATCGAAAAATTGCAAAAATTGTAGAATTGAAAAGCCGAAAATTTGGAAAATGAAATATTGAAAATTTGAGAAATTGCAATCAAAAACTGTAAAATCGAAATATTGAAAAAGTGGAAATTTTTCGTTGCTTCAATTTTTTGTTTTTTGATTTCTTACTCTTTCAATTTATCGGTTTTGCAATTTTTGGATCAAATTTTTCGTTTTTTCAATTTCTTTCTGTTTGTTGTCTTTTCGGTTTTTCGTCTTCAATTTTCCGATTTATAATTTTTCGACTTATCAGTTTTTACATATACCTAATTTTTCATTTCTTCAATTTTCTGATTCTACAATTTTTCGATTTTTCTATTTTGTGATATATATTGTTTCATTTCTTCAGTTTCTCGTTTCTTCAATTTTCATTTTTCGTTTCTTCAATTTTACAATTTTTAGGTTTTCATTTTTCGATTTTTCAAAAAAATGTTAAATTGTACAATTTAAAAATCGAAAAATTGAAAAATTAAAAATTGGCTAATTGAAAATTCGCCAAATGGCAAAATTTAAAAATTGAAAAGTGAAAAATCGAAAAATCCAAAATCGTAAGTTTAATAAACTGGAAAATCGAAAATTGAAAAATCGAAAATTTGGAAAACGGAAAATTGAAAAACGAAAAAAATATATATAATTGCTTATAATGCCACTTTGAAGTTTTATTATAAGCATAGATTCGGCCACTCGACAAACTTTGAAGTTTTTTAATGAGATACGACCACTTGCCATAGAGTTCAATTTTCATCTCCCTATAACTAAAATAAGCCAATGAAATGTAGACGCAGGTGGGTGGGATTAATTCTACCTTTTAGTCTATTTTACTTTGCTTGTGAATAGAAAATCCACCTTTCATCTCACAGCCAATAAAATAAGTGATTAATTTCATTGGTTCTTAATTAAAGACGAATCTCATCTCGGCAAACATGACATTCTAGAACAGGTAACCCTGAAATTTTATCAAAGTTATTAAAATTTACCGAAAACGTCCACATTTAAACAAAAAGACTTTCAAAAGAGAAATAAATACTTAATAAAAGTTATAAATTCAGAATATTTAAACTTAGGGCCAACACAATAAAATAAAAATTCAAATTTCAGATTTTCTATAAACATCCCGTATATTTGAAATAACTTTAGTGTATGCTACTGAAAAACCTACAGGGTATTAATTATTACAAATGGAAAAAACAAAGACCAAAGTTGTACGGTGCCTTTGAGTAGTACATACACATTACAATTATTTGCGACTATACAGAGTGTTTTGTTTTCAAGCCCAAGTGCGCACCTCTTTTTTCAATAGAAGATCCTATATATTTTTACATATTCTCATCAACATGTTTCTAAGCTTTCTAAGCGCAGTTTATTTTTGAAATTCCAATGCGACGTTGACACGTTTTACCAGAATTTTTAACCTTTTCAGCAATACAAGGGTTAAAAAAAAATCAGAATGAGGTTAATTTTAAGATTTCTGTTCCCATATTTTATAGAATTTTATAGAAAAAAATTTAAATATATATAGGGTTCACAAAAAAATATACATTTAACAATTTTATAATATCGACATTTCGTTTTTCTTTAATACAGCACCATGCATTTAATTAGTGTATCTTATTCTGTTTCTTGTTCTCTAAATTAAATACAGGGTGTTCTATTTGAAAAAAATTAAATATCGATATTTGAAAATTGTAAACTAGATTTTTTTACAAAAACACACAAAAGATTAAAATATGATTTGCATGACACTAAATCAACGGAATTTCAAAAATAAACTGCAGGTATAAAACCTAGAAAGAGGGTAATCAAAACGTAAAAAATATATAGGGTTTTTCAGTTAAAAAAAACTAAGTTGTGTTAGTCCTAAAAACAGAATACACTTCAAAATAATTTCAGGATATGGTCCTCAAAGAACCGTTCAACTTGGCCTATAACTTTTTTCTATTTCTAATAATTAATCAGATATCGAAGATTGTGCGCTTAGTGACTCACCCTGTATATTGTACAAAATTTCAAACCTCTATTTTTCAAAATATGACGATTTTTTTTCAATCAAAATACAACCGTCTTTTTTCATGAAGCATCTAAATCGTCGAAAATAATATATAGAGTGAGTCACTAAACGCGCATTCCTCCATATCTCATTAGTTACTGAAAATAAAAAAAAATCTGAGGACACAGTTTGACCGTTCTTTAAGCATCGAACATTGAAATTAGTGACGACTATACAGAGTGTTCTGTTTTTAAGGACTAACAAAATAGTTTTTTTTAATGGAACAACCTATATATTTTTTCATATTCTCATTGGCCTTAAAACCATGGTCTAATTTTGACCTTCCGATGCAACGTTGCCACGTTATTCCAATTTCCTTGAAATCTTCTAGCAATACAAAGCTTCGCAAAAAAATCGCAGTGGGGTTACTTTCAAAATATGTGTTATAATATTTTGTAGAGAGACAGAGAAAAGTACCGGATTTACTACGGTGCAAATTAAATTGCGTCTCAATCTACAGTGTCTAACTGTCTATAAAAAAATTCTAAAATATTGCAATTTTTAAATATCGATAGTTCATATTTTTCGAAGTGAATACCTGTATTTTTTTACTGCACCTTACTCTGTTTATTATTAAGAATTTTTTATATAGGGTACGATAGAGTAATAAAATACAGAGTGTTCCATTTGAAAAAACTGAAATAATGATAATTGAAAATTGAAATGTTTCCGATTTTTTATAAACACTCTATATAATAAAATTTAATTTAATTGATACCGCAACAAATGTTTAATCTCCATAAAATATTGTAACATAACCTAAAAAAATCAAGAAAACTGAAATAACGTGGCAACGTTGCATTCAAATTTCAAAAATAAACTATGTGTTTCCCTAAAACTAAAATCTTGTGTTCATAAAAAATATACAGTTTACAATTTTCGTTATTTTAAATGGAACACCATGTATTCAATTAATGCACATTATTCTGTTTTTGTTCTCTAAAAAAATACAGGGTGTTCTTTGAAAAAATGAAATATCGATAATTGAAAATTGCAATAATTTAATTTTATATAAACACTCTTATAGAATTTGGAAAGTAAACAATGGTTATAAAGCGTGAGAAAATGTGAATCAGAATACATATATAACAATACATAGGTTACCCTATTTGAAAAACTAAGCTGTATGTTACGTCTTAAAAACACAACACAATACACTCCACATGACTACTTCTATATGACTCACTCTGTAGAGGTACTCGAGAATGTGCCCTTAAGGGTATTAGCTACTTTCCGGTTAGTCTGTATAATGTACAAACACAATAGTGTTGGTATTTTACCAAAATAAATACTTTTTAAACATCTTTATACACATATTAGGATTCGGAACAAAACTGGCCTAGTGCCAAAATGTTTAATCTTCAAACCGCACGAACAATTGCTTGTCAATAAATCAATGAAACGTTCCTCAGGTACACTCTCCAAGAATAAATATGCGACATCGGGTTAAAAATGGCCCATACAGGTCCTCTTCGTCCGCAGAGGGGACTCGCTACAAATCGCAGGTGACCCCTCGTCTTTCCGATTTGATAAATTTCGCCGGTTGTTAAGGCGGCTGAGTCATTTGTTATCAGTCATGTGATACGCCAGCTTTGTTTATTTTAACAACAAATAGGTGCTATGTCGTTCGGCCTCCCACAGAACAATAATCGTAACCCGGCGATAAATTTTACAGTGTTTAAATTCGCGATGATGGCCCATAAGGAGGGAAGCAAATGAACACATTGAGGCAGAATCAATAACAGCTGTTAGATACAGGCCATGCGCAAACGGCCTGACCTTGGCCTTGGCAGCGAACGAATTTTTTGTTAATTATTATGTAAGCGATGATTTCAACAATCAACAACGCTACCTAATAACAAGAGCTTTAGGTGGGCCGCATTTGGAAAGAGCCAATGACAAAAGGGTCAAACGTGGAGTAAAAGTGCCCGATTCGTCACTCGAAGACAGGATTGGACCTGTTTCTTTGTAACGGTTGTGGGATGGAAGGGCACATGCACCTGTGGAAAGGGACAAAGGAAGGTGCTTGGGGAACACCACAGGTACCATACACATGGGCGGAAAAATTCGGGCTGCACGTCTGGGTAAACAGTTACACTTTTGATTGAAGTAATGGCAGGCAATTAGTGCAAAAGTGGATGTTGTAGTACAATAGATACATTAACGAAATTTAATTGTCCGAAAAATACAGTAAGTTGTTGGGTGTTCTGCGGAGCGAAACATTCGGAACCTTGAAAATGGAAGTCAAGGTGGAGAGTATTTACATTTTAGATTAGATTATTGATGGTTGGAGCTTGGCAGGGGCAGGCGGGAGAGCAAAAAACTAAATGAAAAGATAAATGGTTTAAAAAACGGTGATAGTGTCAGAATTACATGATTTAACATATTTACATTTCTAATCATTAGGTAATTAAAATTTTTACACTTACAGACTTTTCAAGGTTTCTGCTCTATTATTAGCCGCTACTATTACTTTTCAAACTTTCAAAAACGCCCTTTTGATTTTTCAAATTCGAAACGTCTAAACCTGAAATCAAAATAAGTATTATGCACAAAGCGGTCCCAAATTTTTGGTGCCAAGGTTTTTAAAATCACATCTACTCAGTCAGGTTTATTTATGTTCTAAATTCGGACACAAATCCTAAAATCCTGAAACAGCTTTTTTCCACGAGAGTGAGATAAATTCCGTTTATAGCACTCTTTTTATTTAAGTGATGATTTAATTATCAACTAGTGTGCTAATATTAGATTGTTTATTGTGGATTTTCTACACAAATAACACATTCTGCATGTATTTTAATTTATTTGAGGGAAATCTGACGTCGTAGATAAAATTTTGTATGTTGCATGTGAGCTGCACTTTATTATCGATCTCCTGGTCAAATGACTCGTTGCAAGCAAAGTTCACACTCGTATGGTAACAAGGTGTTTATCGCACTTGTACCGTAAAAAATATCGGTGACAGTGGGATAAACCTGAAGTTGTCCTATTTATTAGAGTGAGGTAATAACTCGTTTGTGTTAATATAATTCTTGATTGTTTAAGTTCGTTTTAAACAATTGTGAAGGCGTAGATAAATTTTTTACGCTACACGTGAAGAAACTTCACACTTGTGTGGTAATATGGTAATGATGCTTTTATGCCACTAGTAACGTAAATAATTGCTATTTTAAGGAGAATTTCGTATTTCGGCTCCAAATTTGTACACACTGAAAAGACTGGGATATCAATGTTTTCAAAAATTAAAAAATTGGTCTAAAGAGTTTAGACAGTACTTCCCTCGCTGTCGGAAACTTGACGACTGCATGCCTATTGTGTTTTTTTTCTCATTACATTTTTGTAGTGGGAATTTAAAAAAAAATTGCGATGACGTCATCAACATTTTTGCAAGGACACGTATATCAGTTGGGATAGATGTAGTGTAATACTAAGAATAAAATTATTATATTCTCAAATTTTCGGGAAAATGAATTGGGTCGTTTGAATATTGATTTGTAATAATCAATAAAATAACGAAACAATTTACTCACGTATACCTACGTATCAGAGGCAACTGAAAATCGTGTATGTATAAACATTGTTAATTTAAGATGACAGGCGTAACAGCATACGTGAGAGCCAAACACAGAAACTGTAAACAAAACGACCGTCGGTTTTATTGCTTCGACTTCCGCTTATTATATAAAACATTGGGTTTTATTTTAATTCTTGACGGTGAAATTCACAATTGGTTGATTATAAACATGTCTATTTCACATTCGCGGAATCAAGTGAACGCATAAAACAAATGCAGGTCTGTAATGTTAAAGTCGATGTAAATAAGCGTGCTACCCTATGTTTCAACCGAGTTTTTCCTTTAACAAATTTTGTGTCTACCAAATTTGGTTGGTTGGGGTGTAATACTAATAATAAGTGTTGCCTTTAATTTAATCAATAAAATAAATTGACTTCATTAATTTTTTTGAACCACCTCTTAAGAAAATCTAAAAAATATGAATGGAATGATAAATCACAAGTACAAACTCATCATATTTTTTGCATTTTAGATAGGATTTATTCAGCAAAATTTAAGGGTGACGTCATCAATTTTTTTAGGAGGGATGAACAAATACATTTTGAACAAAAGTTTACCATGCTTATAATAACTTTAAAATATTCCCAAGATTTCAAAGCATTCGGTTTTGTAATTCCTGATTAAATCGATAAAATAAATTCACGCCTTCATTAATTTTTTTGAGTCACCCTGCATATGCAAATCCAAAAATATGAATGGAATGATAAATCACAAGTACAGACTCATCATATTTTGTACATTTTAGATACAATTTATTCGGCAAACTTTTGAGCTGACGTCATCAGTTTTTTGTAGAAGATAACCAAATATATTTTGACTAAAAATTTATTATGCTCTTTATAACCTTAAAACATCTGCAAGATTTCAAAGCATTCGGTTTTGTAGTTCCTGATTAAATCAATAAAATAAATTTACGCATTCATTAATTTTTTTGAGTCACTCTGTATACGCAAATCCAAAAAATATGAATGGAGTGATAAATGACAAGTACAGGCTCATCATATTTTGTACATTTTAGATATGATTTATTCGGCAAACTTTCGAGCTGACGTCATCAAGTTTTTGGAGGGGATAAGCAAATATATTTTGACTAAACATTTATTATGCTCTTTATGACCTTAAAACATCTGCAAGATTTCAGAGCATTCGGTTTTGTAGTTCCTGATTAAATCAATAAAATATATTTACGCATTCATTAATTTTTTTGAGTCACCCTGTATATGCAAATCCAAAAAATATTAATGGAGTGATAGTTCACAAGTACAGACTCATCATATTTTGTACATTTTAGATATGATTTATTCCACAAACTTTTGAGCTGACGTCATCAAGTTTTTGGAGGGGATAAGCAAATATTTTTTGACTAAAGATTTATGATGCTCTTTATAGCCTTAAAACATCTGCAACATTTCAAAGCATTCTGGTTAGCAGATTAAAAATTAAATTTCAAAATGTTGTTTTATAATTTTGATTTTTTTTCCAAAAATCTGGACGTTTCGAGTGAAAAGTCGATTCAGAGTTGTAAACTACATGTGTAGGACTATGTTATTTTATACAATTGAAAACCCATTTACTATGTACAATTTTGAAGTGACGTCATCGCTTTAGTGGTGGGGATGATTCGACAAATTTTGGTTAGCGTTTTACCATCTACATGATATTCTTAATATAAGTACAAAATTTCACAACAATCGGTCGAGTACTTTCGGAGATTATCTGTCTAATAAAAATCCGTGACAACAGACGGACAGACGGACAGACGGACAGACGGACAGACGGACGGACAGACGGACAGACGGACAGACGGACAGACAGACGGAAATGGGAGACCTATTTCTTCGTCTTCTAGGGGTCATGAAAGATCGAGAAAACGTAAAAGTAGAGAGTCGGCCGACGGACTCGATTACAATACTTCCTTTGCTTACGCTCGGGAAGTAAAATTGTAAAAAATTAAGTATATATTGCTTCAATATTTTTTTTTAAGATTTTGAATTTATTAATTGGAAACTGGTTTTTCCAATTAACCTATTAACCTAAAAGAGCGATTTCAATTGTAAATTACTAATATTTTTTATGGCAAAGTTCACTGCTTCAAAACTATAACTATACCCAAATTCTGAGGAAAAATTCATGAAAATCAAATTTTTTCAGATTTTATTTAATAGTGAGATTTTAAAAAATAATTTTAGTTTTGAACTTTTTGCATCTAATGTTTTTTAAAAATATATACTTCCAGTCCTGAAATAATGAACAAATAATTTGTTGCGGATTTATTTAGGATGACAACAACGAAATTTAGGAAACTCATCAGGGCGAAACTCAAATGGAACCTAAAAAGCATATTATAATAGCAAATTATTAACCTTTTTGAGGAAATCAATGGAAGTTCACTGTTTCAAAACTAGAACTATATTTCTAATTTCAATAACCAGAAGACATAAGAATAAAAATTGGTCGAAAGTTATTTCGATTGAACTTTTTCGCACCTATAGCAGAATGAATCATATCCAACATTTTGTTCAAATTAAATTCCAGTCTGTCCAAATTCTGATTTTTTTTTTTTTGGAAAAATCGAACTTTCATTGTAGCAAAAATTCATGAAAATATTAAAGTTTTCTAGGTTTTGTTTAAAGTAAGAGAAAAAAAATTTCTATAAAATATTGCAAGATTTTTGATTTTTATTTCTAACAATCTAGAAATTTCGAAAAACGGGCAAATAAATTTTTTTAAACACTTTGAATCGAAATTCTAAATCAAGGTTATTATCTTTTTGGTAGTTAGTCCTTTAAATGAGAAGGGCGTGGTTGGGGGGGTTAGAACTTGCTAAAATATAACTAATTTTGGCAAATCACATACCCTTAAAGAAAAAAGAGGGTGGGTGGGCGGGGTTTGTACCTTCTAAGATAAGACTGATTTTGGCAGATGACACTTTTAAGAAAATAGAGGGCGGGTGGGTGGGGCTACTACTTGCTAAGATAAAATTAAACAATATTAAGAGTGGTCACTGAAATGAAGAGGAGGGGCATGGGCGGGGCTATTGCTTACTTATCAAAGACTCTTAAGAAGAAGTTAAACCTGGCCCCACCCACCCACCCGTTCTCATTTTTTCTTCGAAAATAAGAATATACTTTAAAATAAATGGTGTACGAAAAAATTACGGTTAGCCTTTTTTTTTTTAACAGCCCCACTCCCATTCTACTGAAGAATATATAATTAACCCCACCCACCCGCCGGACAAGCAATATTCCAATTCTTGACTTATACACGAAGTAAAAATTGGCAAATTTTAAAAATAAAAAAAAACATTCTACAATACAAAAGTTTTGAAGTTTCATCAATTTTTTTTTAAATGTTTTAGTCAGAATAAAATAATAAAAAATATTTGTGTACAGTCCAAGTACTGCAGGACTGGGCTCTATTCCTACAATCTAGAAATATCGAAAAAACAGTTTCAAATTTTTTTACAACACTTTTCTGAATATAAGTTTTAAATTGAAGATATCGTCTTTTTGGTAAAAACTCCAGGCGGATTCATAAATCGCAAGTACAGAAGTGTATCATTTTATTAAATCTAAATGGCATTTAACTTGCAAAATTTTAAAGTGACGTCACCGAAATGTTGGTGAGGCTGATTAGACAAATTTTAGTTAGGGTTTGACCATCTACCGGATATTTCTAAAATACATCTAAAATTTGACAACAATGAGTCCAGTAGTTTGAAAATTAATTGTCTAAGATATGTAAATCGACATATTCAATAGCAAATTATTAATCTTTTTGAGGAAATCAATGGAACCAAGTTCACTGTTTCAAAACTAGAACTATACTTCTAATTTCAACAACCAGAAGGTATAAAATTTTTAGTTTTAAACATTTTCAATCCAATGATTTTTGAAGATATGTACTGCCGGTCCTGAAATAATGAACGCCACCCAAATAATTTGTTGCGGATT